ATTAAGATTAGTTGGCCACTGTGGCTGAAGTAGTTTACAGGTTATATGGACCCTTTTTACCCATTGGCTATTCTTGTTTGTTCTTACAGTATGTGGCTTCATGCAAATGCAAAAAATAATTGTTAATTAATATACGGTATTTCTTAAAATGAACAGCTGGCATTGTGTAATATGGTTGTCCTGGGGATTATGCGCAGGGAAAGCAATTATGTTTTAATTTTTCAAATGTATGGCTAAATAACTTAAATAGATAAATAGCCACCAATTGTGGGAAAATTAATAAGTATTTGTAATGAAATTAATAATAATAATTAATTAACAATAAAAGTAAATGGTTCATTTCAACAACACTAATAACAATATTTTATATTACATGAGTAAAACATAATTAAGAAAAGAAAAAACTATTCTTAATGTGGGCAGTTTTAGGATTTTTGAATAAACTTTCTAAGAAAAGTGTCCACCCGACCCCCTACATTGTTTTTAACATACATATTTGAACGGTTGTGACGTTGGTTAGCTTTTCATTTTGGAAACACCACCCTTGCAGCGATATTTTTCAAGTTTAGGGGTCCAAGAAACCATTAGTCCAGACTTTGATTGGGATTCCGGCTCTTTTTAAGGAAGGAGGTCTGTTTTTTTTGTTTGGGCTCGGCTCAACTAAAAAAGAGTTCGGGCTCTTTGGCTTCCTCAGATTTTGTTGTTGTTGGAAAGATGAAATTTAATTACCAAAATTATGGTGGTTAAAGGAAGTGATGGAGCGGTTACTGTAAATAAAGAGTACGAAACAACGGTGCAAGAAGTTGCTGATCAGGGCACGTTTATATGGATTGATGTATAATATATCATCCATAAACAGAGTGCTACAAAAAAAAGATATAAGCTGGCAGCAAGCGTTGGGGCGGGCCCCTTCGCCACTCCACGCAAAAAACTCGGGGCGTAGTTGCGGCCCGGTTACGTGCCGTCGTTTAATACTTGCGCCTGCCGTCGTTTAACATGGTGGCCGATTCCAACAAACAGTGGAATTCTCTATATAATTTGTGTCTTTAATTTCTGGGGACCAAATGTTCACTTTTTTTGCTCTCTCTTTGTCTGCTTACTTTCCTGTGGTACAAGTATGGTGTATCAACTAATATCTTGAATATCAGGTCATGGTAGACGTGTTCAGGGCGGGACTGGTTTATTACGTGTTGAATTTTTCATTTGACATTTGGACCAATTACCACAAGTTGTCCAAGTTTTGGTACTGAAGATATGGATACTAAGTGTTCTCTCTCTCTATGCCCCAACTCGGCGGGTAGATTCGTCAAGACGTCGTCAATAAACGGGCACACTACTTCCCCACGGTTTCGTAATACGTAACAAGTCGATCCAATGACTGTATATCTTTTTGATCCCACAAAATGGTGTGTCTGTTTTACTGGCTCTAAATGTCTAATTCCTTGTGGTGCATCAGATATACCACAAGCCAGTCTCTCTCTACTGCCACCCAGTGGTTAGTGATGTGTAAGTCAGCAGCATTCAGGTAAACGCTGGTAACGGAAGAAACAGCTGACCTTGGCCAGGCAAGAGGGGTGGGGGTTGAAGTAGACCCCAACTTTGTTGTTGATGGAGGACACTCCCTTTTACCACTCCCAGTTCTTGAAAGTGGAATACAGCCTATAAGCCACTGCGGGGGGGGCATTCAGTAATTGGTAAATGGTAAGTGGACCTGT